CGATGAGTTGGTCAATATATTGTAGTGGGAATGAGTCTTTAGTGCACACTTTGTTCAGATCTGTGAAGTCTACGGACATACGCCATTTCCCATTTTTCTTTTTTATCATGACCACGTTGGCGACCCATTGGGGATATTTTGACTCTCTGATAGAGCCGTTCTCAAGCAATTTTTCCACCTCCTCGCGGACATCATCATTTATCGCGGCATTGAATTTTCTTCTAACTTGCCGCACTGGGGGTGGAATGGGTCGACATTCAATTTATGTGTTGCTATCTCCTTCGGGATGCCTGGCGTGTTTGCATGGAAAAAAGAAAACAGGTCTACGTTATTTTTTAACAATTGACGGAATTTACCTGGTTCTTGGGTTTGTGGCCGATGAAAGCTTTCTTGCTGTGGTCGTTATCATCGAGTTGGACGGGGTCGAGATCCTCTACGATTGACCCTGTGGCTTCTATGATTTCGGGGTCTCTGATAACGTCTTTCCCTTTATCTCCATCTGACCCCGACTTCATTAATTGCTATGCCTCCTCGGCTTTGCCTTTCAGTTTTTGGGTGTATGTGCAGTCTTGGGCGATACGGTAGCATTCTCGGGCAGTGCGTTTCTCTCCTCGGTTGCTGAATACTCCCCCGGGGGTAGGAAATTTGATGACTTGATATAAGCTGGAGGGGACGGCTCTCATAGCGTTTATCCAAGGTCGACCTATGATGGCTTTGTACGCTGTATCCTGGTCCATAATGTGGAATGTGGTCTCCAAAGTGACGCCGTCAGCCAGGACGGGTAGCGTGATTTCTCCATATGTCCGCTCAACTGCATTGTTAAAACCCGTCTGTGTGATGCAGCGTCACACTATCCTATCCTCGAGCTTCATTTGGTTGAGAACTCGAGGGTGGATGATGCACGCGCTGCTCCCGTCATCGAGCATAATACGTTTTACATTGGTATCTAAGACGCGTAAAGTAATGACAAAAGTGTCATAGTGAGGAAAAACCAAACCGTGGGTGTCCGATTTATCGAAGATGATACTTTGTTCGAGTTCGTCATACTGTTCATGAGTGATTGACCGTTTGAGTTTGTGGGTGGTGGTGAACTTCAAGCTGTTGATTGATGCTTCATTGCCCCCTCCGATGATCATTTGAATGGTTCGAGCTGGGGAAGGGGGTTTTGGCGGTCCCTGGTGTTGTTCACGTCCTCGGGCGAAGTTGGCTCTCCCTCGGTTGCTCATCAGCTCTTTCAAGTGCCCTTGGTGAAGCATGTTCACGACCTCCTGTCTTAGGGCGATACAGTCCTCGATTTTGTGGCCCCGCTCTTGGTGGAATTCGTAGAGGGCATTCGACTTTCTAGTGCTTGGGTCAGATCTCATCTTCTGTGGCCACTTCACTTTTGGGCCGAGCATCTCCAGTTCATAGACTATTTCTGAGGGGGAAACACAGAAATTGTGAGCAGATAATAAAGGCGGCATACCTCTCTCACTTCGGTGGGTTCTCGTTCGTGGCCTAGATGGGCCTTCATCGTGGCGTGGAGACGGCATGAGAGCGCCTATGACATAGGGCTGATGTCTTTCCCGATTAGGTAGGGGTCCCACTAGATCCCTCCTGTTATCACTTCTCCGGTCCTTCCTAAACTCCATTTGGATCGAGGTCAACCGTTGAGTAAGTCCGTTGAGGTCATCCTCATCAGCTCGATACAGTAGGCATTGTGTACCTTGTCCCAAGTGGTTGGAGGGTATTTCATGAGTCGGCTTAGCAACTTTTTGGTTGCCCTCGACCCACTTCTGCTTAGCCCAGTTTGGAAAGCGGCTACCACCATCCATCAGATACATTTGGAAGGGTCATTCTTACACGATTGAATCGGGCAAAGAAGTCCCTGAGTCCTTCGCTAGGCGATTGTTTAATGGCGAATATGTCATTCACCCTCGCCTCTGCTTTCTTAGCCCCGGCATGAGCGGTAATGAACCTGTCTGCCATCTCCTCGAATGTTTCTATGGAACGCGCAAAGGTAACTGTGAGTACCAAGTCAGCGCTCCCCCGGTTAGGGTTTCGCCAAACTTCTTCAACAATATGGATGACACTTGTTCTTTGGCGAGGTCGTTGCCTTTCACTGCAGTAACATTGTGGGTCACATGGTCCTCCGGGTCCGTCGTGCCGTCATATATTTTTAAGTACGGCGGCATTTTGAAGGTTTTAGGTATGGCGTGCGGTGCAGCCTCGTCACTGTACGGTTGTTCCACGAACCGGCCGGTGTCCCTTTTTGGCAAAAGCTTTGGGGCACCCGGTATTTTGTCTACCCTTTCTTGATGCTCTTTCATTTGGTTGCGGAGCATTTTGTTCTCGTTCTCCATCTCCTCCATCTTCTTCAAAATGGCCATGAGGGTGTCGTTTCCTGCATCACTAGCATTGTGAGTAATACATGTTATAGGGGGGGCGTGCTGCTCGTTAGCTGCTGATGCGATGCAGACCCTTGCATCTTCTCTATTCGGCATTTGAACGGGCTTGTCGAGGAAGCCGATTAGCGTGTTTGTCAACCACGCCTTGAGTAGATTTTTCACTACCGGTGGTGCCTCTTCCGTTGTGGATGTAGAGGCCCATTTGCCGTGCGAGGTCGTGATGCTACCGTGAGGTGGGGGCAAGCTGTTTCACCTGGGAGAGGTGTTTGGTGTTATATCTTCGCCCTCTATTTCATCCACTTCATTGATGGTGTGTAGGAGGTTGGTGGTGAGGTTGGCTATTGCCTTCCTCTTTTCCTCCCCGTTGCCTGCCATGTTAGATTTGTGCACACAAGGAAGTATAAGGTTTTTGCAAAGTTTTTTTTTAGATCTAGAAGAAACTAAAATTTTAACTGGAAAATCCCCACAGACGGTGCCAAATTGTTTGACCAAAATGTATGAAATCTTTTGTTAAATAAGAAGATAATGGGTAAATTCTAGTTAAACATAATAAATCCTAGATCAAAAACGTGTTTGCACAGATAACGTGGAAATGCATTTTTGTTAATTTAATACAGCAGGTATTGAAAGATACTGTTATGAACGAGTGGGAGAATAATGATAAGAAATAAATATATTAAACGGAAAAGGGTTAAATATATCCCTCTACTATTGAATATTGTTTAAAATTACCCTTCGTTATACTATCGGTTCAAAAGAACCCCTACCGTGATACTATTGATCAAAAATGCCCTCAAGTTAACGGTGGTGCCACGTGGCAACCATTTGAGCCATTTTGTCCTTCTGGGTTTATTTTTTTACACTTACCCGACCCAATACCCGGTACCCGACCCAAAAAATTAAACCCTAAATATCTTTTTTTCTTCTTTCTTCTCTTCTCTTCTCCACGATCCAAACCTCCATCAATGGCATCACGTTTTCATTGGTAGCTGAAACAAAGTTCCAAATCAAGAAAAGAAGAGATATACAAAAAGTCTAATCTATGAATAATGAGCAATGAGAAACGACCAATTATACTTGGTTTGGATAAAGGATATCACCAACAAAAAATTGAGCAGTAACATGTTGATAATCTGTGGCTTCTACACGCATATCTTACCGGTATATTCTCTGATTTAATGCCTGAAAGTATGTTTTATATATTTCATTTGCTTATAGTTTCTTTAAGAAATTAATTTCATGACTATTACAAAGAGAAACAGTCATGGAACTCAAGATCAAAGCAACATTCATTTTTGCAGAGCTATCTCTCTGCATTTTCATCTGCTTGTGCAAGTTGTCTTATATAAATGGGGTAAAGGGTTAAGGGGAAACGAGAAGAAGCTGCCAAAATGAATTGAATTTCATGAATAGAAAGAGAAAGAACAGAAAAACATGTTTCGGGTTTAAATTTTGGATCGAATACCGGGTATTGGGTCGGGTCAGTGTAAAAATGAACCTGGATAGACCAAATGGCTTAAATGGCTGCCACGTGGCACCTCCGCTAACTTGAGGGCATTTTTGATCAATAGTATCACAGTAGGGGTTCTTTTGAGCCGATAGTATAACGGAGGGTAATTTTAAACAATATTCAATAGTAGAGGGATATTTTAGACCCTTTTCCGTATATTAAATGGCAACAAATGTAAATAGAGAGAATGATTCACCCAAACATTGAATGAGGTAGATGATTCTTCTCTCTGACAATGATGTAAGACAAATGAATACGAGAATATAGGGGGCTTTCTCGGGTTTGATGCGGGAAATGTGGGATAAACAACAAATCGAATCTTTATGGAAAGACAATATTTGTATTTCTCTTGAGAGTCAACTTTTCATAAGAGTTCTTATCATATAGAATATTACATGCCTTTTGCCTTATTTCTCCTGCTATTTATATGGGATATTCCCAAAGAACCCTAAAAAGTACAACAGAAGGAATATTCAATGGAATATTCCCTTTGAAAGTTCCAAAGCCATATTATCGTTACTTCTGTTCCTACCACTCGACCTCGGCCCTAATGGGCCACTCAACGGCTCATTCTTGTTAACCACTGACCGACCTCAACCAACCCGCCCGTGACGAGTTACAATTCTCACGTTTGATCACCTCTTCGTACTGAATTTCCTCAGTCGGATTTTGACCCATACAATATGGACCTGCTAAATACTGTCAACAATTATGTATTACTTAGTACTTACTAGAAACTTTTTAAAAAATTTCCAGAGATATATTCCCAACAAAAAAGCTTATCTAATATTGTAGATAATGTTATTTATCAAGTGATTATATTGTCGAGATATGATGAGATAATGGTGTGACAAATCTTCCATTACATGAGATATTAGTTAAGGGTACTTTTTTATTGTTTAGTTGAGGTTTTATATGCTTAAACACATGCAAATGCATGGAATATTAGCGCAATAATTAATACATGTAAAAGGGTACCCCCACAACATATTCAAATCTAGAAAATTGATAGTGTAATTATTATGATATTTCATAGGATAAATTAACCTATACCATCTTCTACTACTTAAGCATATCCTATCTTATTGTGTTTTAATATGTAAAGGAAGGAGATTTGTTCCTTGATTTCTTGTCATGAACCCAAGTTGGGAAAATATCCAAGAAAAAACAAATAGTAACGTGGCAATCCAATCATCTTCACTTGATGTATGCTCCTATTTTCATAAGACCCAACTTGTACTACAAAACATATTACTGTATTATTCATATCAACGACTTAATATTTCCTCTTCTTTCCACACCCTCAACCCAACTTAACCAAAACGAGAAAACTCATTCTGGAGTTGGTAATTTGGGAAGTTAATAAGTAATATTTTCTGTAGCTAGGGTAAAAATGAGGAGAAAGTGTTCACATTGTGGGAAGATAGGTCATAATTCAAGAACTTGCAGCAGTTTCAAAGTAGGTGCGGCTATTAGTTGTGGATTAAGACTCTTTGGAGTGCAAGTACTTGATAATATCTCTTCTTCATCTTCATCTTCATCTTCATCATCATCTTCTTCTTCTCATGATACTCACTTGAAGAAAAGTTTAAGCTTAGATTGCTTATCTTCATCTGAAAAGACTAGTTGCACAAATGGTTCTCTCTCTCAATGTCTCTTAGGTCAAGCTCATCAACATAGAAGGAAAGGTTTGGAATAATATATTATTCTTGTTTAGATATATAATGGTTTTATCTCTACTTTTCAGTATAATAAGGTGTTGTATGAAAATAATTGTCAAAATCAGATTCTATAATTGCCCCTATCGAAAATAGGATTGACTACCAATTTCAGAAGAACTAGAGTTACATGTTTTTATCCCTTCAACAGTTCTTGAAAACCCTTTTTGGCATGCTATCATAATAACCATGCATCTTCTTCTTTCTGAAAGGAAAAGTTTTGTGTTTGTTCTCTCAATTGAACATTCCCTTCCAATATCTTCAAGCCCGTCTGATTTGAACTACAGTCAAACCTCTCTATAATAACCTCGTTTGTTCCAAATATTTTTGGATGTTATAGTGAATTGCTGCTATAGAAAACATATACTATTATAACAGAACATGAAATTTGGTTCGGGAAAACTTGACTTTTATAGTGAAGTGCTGTTATACAAGGATTTGTTATAGAGAGGTCTGACTGTACTCTTTTTGATTGGCCTATTTACAATGTAACTAGTCAAAGTCGTTTTATTAATATTTTCACAGTTTTTTAATAAAGGCGGTACGGTGCTATATATGAGCCACTTAGATTGTAGCTAGCTAGACTATTTCACCGGATACATATACTTTACGTCAATATAGGTATCAGATAATTTTATCCATCAAAGTTTAATTAAGCAAATGAGAAGAAAACCAGCTAACATTTTTTATTTTTTACTGAAATTCGAACCCTGTCTCATTTGATTTAAATACACACATTTTTTTTAATGTTAATTATATGGATATTGTTGGATGATTTTAGGAGTTGCATGGACAGAGGAGGAACACAGAACATTCTTAGTGGGACTAGAGAAGTTAGGTAAAGGAGATTGGAGAGGAATTTCAAGGAACTTTGTGACAACAAGAACTCCAACCCAAGTTGCTAGTCATGCTCAGAAGTATTTCCTCAGACTATCAACTCATCATCATCTCAACAATAAGAAGCGCCGTTCCAGCCTCTTTGACTTGGTACGTATACTATATTTTCTCCTAATATTTCATATTTCTATGTATTTTTTAGAAAAACAATTTTGATGACATGGTCATTCTATGGTGTTTGCATAGTTAATAGCAAAGTATTTCTAAGAAAAAACATTCTTCATTAAACCGGAGAAAAATGACTTCCCTATTCATGTTTCTTATAACTATTTTAACTTTTAACTTCATACTACTTGTTATAGCTATCACTTAGACATTATTATTACTAATATTTAGTATATAATTTATTTGAAATTTAATGTGTTATTTTTCTGAACATGATAGGTAAGGAGCAACAACAAGAACCATCTTGATGCTATAACCGATTACATTAATACCAAGCCAGACTATGCAAACTCTCTAACAAGCTTAAATGAAGTTTGCCAAGAAACTAGTCTATCTAATTTGATGGATCTCAATTCTGCTTCTCATCATCAGATGGTGTCTTCTTCTACTATTATGTCCAACTCTCCAGTAGCAGCAGCACTTGATTTGGAGCTAAGTCTAGCAGCTCCAACAAATGTGGATAAAAACAAGCCTAATACCTTTCTAATTGGACCCATTCCTGTTACTTAACGTACTACTCTCTATGCTATAATGAATTTGTTTTCCTTTTATCATGTTACTATATAGAATGTATACTCCTGTAATTAATAACTCTATTCTCCATCTCTAACATCAAATTTTCAGGCGACGACTTTCCAAGAGAAAACCATTTTTCTCAAATATTACGTACTAGTTAATGAAAGTAATAATGAGTGAATATCGACCCATTCTTTTTTTGTTTTGAGGGGTGAGGGGTGGGGTTGGGTTGGAGGACATCTATTTTAGGAATTTTAGTTTGGCATAACGCAAATAAATTTGGTATACCAAGTTGTCAATTGTCACATCGTGCATTCACTTTTAAGAAACAGTGTCCTTTGAACCAACAAGCATTCCTTCATCTATATCTTGATAAATACTTACACTGATAATCTCTGTATTAATAGTTATTCACATGTTTCCTGTGGAGGATAGAGATTTGTCCTCTTCCCCCTACTCCCAACATTTATTTTATCCATTAAAGCTAAAGCCTACCTCAGAGATATGATTGTTTTTGTTTCACACATCTGACTTCTGACCATCTAATTTCTATACGTACGGATATTGTCACTCTACCTATCTATTCTAACCTTACTCGAGTGGATTTTTTTTCATTAATATTGTTCAAACTCTAATCAATGAGGCGTTCTTGAGACATGATTAAGCCTTGAAACTCATTACAAAGTAGGTTATGTGCTTTGGCCCCCTCAAACTCGTGCTTTATTTGTACTTTTTACTTGATGCTTCAATAGATTTTAGGGCCTTTTATTTTTACTTTTCGCCTTTGATAACACTAATGATTCAGTTCAATTCTTTGTGCACTATGCTACAAAATTGAATATATAGTAGGATTATATAGGCAAAATAAATGTCCGTTCACTAGCATTAATTCTTGATTCAAGACATTTATAAGCTGTCCTTTAGGTCTGTTGTGAGTTGGACCACTATAGTAGGACAAGTGAGAAAACTAGAAGCTTTCTATGGACCCCGTCCCTGCCCCTGCCCTTCAACCCACCATTGTGTTGGTTGTGGTGGCAAAGTTTCACATTGTAAGTTGATAAGAAAAGAAGCTAAATACTAGTATAAGATACAGTAATGTTCTTAATGGTGTGAAATCTTTCAAAAAACTGTGTGCACTTGGCTTCTCCCAGATTAGCTAAGCAATTGATCATTGGAATTGCAGAGCAAGAACTCCAGCATATTTGAGTTTGCAACGTTAACTAAAAAGACATTAAGAAAGTTCATCCAATGTTTCATTCAACGAACTCATTAAATGTATATATTGATCATAAAAGACGGCTATGCTATGGACTATTACTTTTGGATAAGGTCACGTCTGAATTTAATCTCAATCTTGAATTTGAGTTATTATCGGACCCGAGAGTGATTGTGATGTGCAAATTTCCGGAAGCTACAATATACGTACATAACAATCGCAGTATCATTACACTTTTTGGCCCACTCCTGCAAACCAGCTGTTGCCTGTTGCTTTTGCAAAAGGACCACTGCTTTATGCTTTTGCAAATTGGGTCAGGCTGTCGTATCTACGAAACATAGGCACGACATATTCTGGATAATATGGAAAGGTTATGTAATGAATGAATCCAGAAATGGGATGAGGCCGAACTCGGACAAGTTTCCACCTTTCATACCATATGGTATTATTATGTGCACGTTTAAGATTGCTGATGATCATACGATCAAGGATCCTATTGATGACCCTTCGAGAAAAAGAATTTATATTTCTGGAGAGTAGTCAGGACGTAATAACTGCTGATGTAATAGCTTTGGATCACTAACAGGGTCCAGAGTCCAGAGATTGTCCTATTACTGCCTCTAAATTGTCGACAAGGATGCAAAATCTAACCTTTGATGTTCTGTCTGAATTCAGTTCCTGACCAGAAATCTGAAAATAGGGTCTCTGTTCACTATTTGTTTCGTGAAGAATTTAATTTCGAAGGTAAGAAGCCACACATTGTGGAGAAATTGTAGGATTCGAACATAATGTTCGTGAAAATGGACTCTTAGTGGTCGATCGGGTAGAACAACTAGGAAAGAAAAAGGAGAATTGAAGTAAAACAACACTCCATGTTTAAAGTGTATTATCCTTCTTTTTATTCACTTTTGGATTCTTTCTGTTCCTGGGGGAAAATCCCTGTTACTAGCTGACAGATTTCATGCTTCATACAAGGTCTTGGCACGTAAACATAGATGGTGAGAAAAGTTATTGCTGCAGCTATCACAAGAAAATAATATAGCAAGAAGCTCTTACTTTGTTCGCTGGTGGAAAAAGTAATCCTCTTTGCAAACCATTCATTCGCGTCCTCTCTTTAGCTTTGCCAGTTAGAATCTTCCAATAGTAGCTTTATTCTGAAGTGCTATCTTTGAGAACGAGTTACAGGCAGAGTTATGCCAAAGAAATTCTCCTTTCAATGTAAAGTACAAACTTTAAAATAGGATGCACGGAACTGTGTTAGAGAATACTTCCCCACTTACCGCATACAAAAAGTTGAGGGAAGGAGAGAATTTTGTGGCGCTTTATTAAGGGGCAGTTGGAGTTTTCGCAAATTTAGGCACTGGAATACTGCACCTGAAAAGTCAAGGTTCAGTTGTATACATACAACTATAATTGCTACATCACTTTAATCTACGATCGTCTATTTACAGAGAATATTGAGAGGGCTGTTTTGATACAAACCCAGAAAAACAAAAAAACAAAATCTAACTAGAGAATATAAACAATTGCATTACAGATGGACAAGATTGTATATAGCAGCTACATGGGAAGTAATGGCGTATCAAAAAATAAATGCCATGGAATGTTGGCAGATAGATGAATAAGGGCTCTGCAACTTTGCAACCTCTCCGATGTATCAAAGAAAACCACGCGATGTTGGTCAATACAAGGAGCTTGATGATTATGAATTGTCCAGTCAGTCAACCTCCTTTGCACTCCTGTCCCCCAGCATCAGAATGCCATCAGGTATATATTACTATTTGCTTTTCCTGGTTCTGATTTTTATTTAACTATCATGAATCACGGGATCCTTGGATCAGCACACTGATACGCTTAGAACTGTCTGCGCGCAGGATATCTCCTTTGGGTCCAATCTGTATGAAAAATCATTTCCAAGATCTCAAATCTCTTAACACAGGCAGGTATTCAAGGGAAACTGTAACCAAGTGAGCTCATAAAACTGCGGAAAAACCAGGCATTCTTTACACGAGAAAAAAAATACCTCATTTGGAGTTTCAGGCGAGAACCACCGCAGTAGTATTCCAAGATGCACAACAGCAGGAATTAGCTTGAAAAGCAATGGTGTGGTCACCTGTAGAATTGATTTGGAGTGAGGCCCAACATATCAGCATAGAAACAAAAATGAAAGATAAAGTAGAACCATTAAATTTTATCACTTGAGCCTTTCCCTAAAAGATTCTCTCAATTGTCCTATCTAATAACTCATAAGTCATCTTCATTGCCAAATTATTAGTTTAGTTGTCAAAGACATATTGAAGCGGTACTTATTCAAGGTTTGGCTGATAACTCTAGCGTAAGCATTGCAAATATAATTTCCAACAATATCTTGACTAAGGGTAAAAGTTTCAAAATTCAGACTCTAGGCTTCAACAACCTTATGTAGGAATCCTATTTGCTAGTCCTCTAGAATCCAAAAATAGATCATGAAGTCCACAAATGTTTCCCAAATCCCCGTGCAGAAGCTCGCACACATGCATGCAACCCCCTTTCCCAGAATCGAAGTGCTTGTAAAGCTGGCTCACCTGTTTAATCAACCATTCTAAAGTACAATTTAGCCCATCATAAGCACATAAAACTTCATGCAGCTAAGTACCAGTAAAGTTATTTTGGTAAAATTTGCAGAAACCTTTTCATTTGCAATCCAGATTGTTTGGTGTTCAAGATTTTCACCAGGATAACTGTAAAAGATGTTTAAAACTCAAACACGCTTAGTTCAGGAAGAGTCTCGATATGTTCTTTATGCCTAACCACTGACACCCACCCCCTACCAGGACAGAATTATGAAAACCCCTTAATGCGGAGCTCATGAGTCTTCCATATTTTCTGAAGCACCAGCTCTTTGCCTCCCAAAGAGAACATGCATTGTCACAGGTCCAGATTCTAGTCAATTGATCACTCATAGAAAGGTAAACAAGTATCAAAAGCAAGAAGGCAAGCAAAACTTCAACAAAGTCTCAAAAGTATACAAGGTACAGCTACTGTTGCTAGAAAAGAGAATAACAGTAAACATACCAAGCTAAGTGCAGTTGTGCCCAGAAGCAGCATATACACTTTACCCTGCAGCGTCACCAAATTCCATTACTCATCTCAAATCAGCAGTCGATAACTCAACAATGATTGAATTTTACATAATTGAGAGTGGCAACAAGGAAAGGAATACAACGTATTAGTAAATTAATTTCAATTCCATCAAATCACACAATTCCTACAAAATGGTACTTAAAATATCACATGATATCACATTACTGTAGACATCAGCAGAAAAGAATTTTTCAAACTGCTTAAATGGCATACTAAACCAGCACCTCAATTAGATGAAGATTTGAAGCACGGCTTAGAAGAACAAAAGCAAACTCTCCTATTTGAGCTAGAGACATTCCAACCTGGACATACCATACAAAAAAGTTAGTAACAGAAATTATGGGTAGAAAAGAACAGATACTAATAGCTGTTTTATATATTGAAAAGAGTTCAGAAATTATGACCTCATATGACTTGGAAAACTTACTAGAATTGCAGCCTTATTGGTGTAGCCAAAACCCTTGACAACTGCGGCAACCACTATAGTTTTTATGACGATGACCAATATAACAGCTGCTACTAAGATATCAATGTGATTCCAAAGAAAATGAACATGGATAAGCATTCCAATGCTAGCTAGAAAAAGAGCAGCAAAGAAGTTCCGTATAGGTTCAACCTGCACAAAATGAAAACACAGCTAAGAATAAGGCATGTAGTGCAGATGGTGTAACAATGAGAAACCCACATCTTCCAGCATGCCTACGACTTATATGGAATTGTTAGAGAAAATTATTTCCTTAGAGAGAAGAAAACAGTTATAAGCTTAAAGACGGAACAGATAAAAATAGGTCTGGTAGCAACATGGACAAACCATCCCAACTTCTAAAGGTGGATTTTATACAATTCTAAAGACTAAGTGCCCGAATAGAGCGGAAAAGTCTTGGATAAGCAAAGTTCCTTCTTCAGATGGATCTTTATCCTCTCTCTTACTGAGCCTTGCCAGGGGCCAGGGCTATGCTAGGATATTAGGCTAGGAAGGAGAAAGCAGACTAGGTAGGAGAATCATTGAGGATAATGGAAATTGGGGAAGTCCACTTTTGAGATGGAAAAGAGAAAGAGAAGAGGTGGAGTATTCGCCGAGGTTCTGTGTTGTTGAAGCAGATTGGGAACCAAGGAAGAAGGCTGAGATCGGTAGTGATAAGCTATTATTGCTTAGATAAAAGACGGGGAGGATGTTGATCACTATCCGCCGCACCAATAATTTCATTAAAGCGTTATGGAAATTAGCATATTTCTTATTTAACTTTCAATTGGGTGTTCCTAAAACCAAGGCAACAATGATGACAGGTTCGGGGTCACACAGATTGAAAGCTGGAAAATGGGATTATTGAATGTCTCCATTTTGCTTTTTCAGGTTAATAGAAGCTAGAGAAAAAGATAAAGAAGAATTTTTAAAGGGGCCATTTGTATAGACAGTTCTTAAGGCTCTTCGAGACATAGTATATACATGCATTTGTAAGACTGACATCGTTATGATGTAAAATTACTGAATACTTTGGTTAACAGAAAAGATGCAAGCAAATTTTAACTTGTGCTATTCGGGATTGCTAAGACCGACTGATCAATCAATCGAACATGCCTTATCCCAATCTAGTTGAGGTCCATCGGATGAATCCTCTTCTATCAATTCCAGTCTAGAGGATTATTATATTTTCTAATCTTTGAATATGTTAATTTATTCTTCTCTGAAAAACTAAAATCTCGTCAATTTTTATACTTGTTCCACTTAGATAATGTTCAAAAAAGCGATACAGCTAAGGAATCATCCTCTCCATCTCCACAAGGTAGGGTAACGTCTGCGACACAGTACCCTCCCTAGACCCCACTTGTGGAATTACACTGGGTTCGTTCTTGTATTGATACAGCTAAGGGTCAATTGAGTTCTTCAGTATCTTGCACATAGATAACGTCATGACGATAGCAATGAGAGAGACATGAGGAAAAGCAAAATGCTTATGAAATATACAAGATGGAAAACCTGTTCAAGTGTATGTTGAGCAAGATCAGTTGTTGATATCATCACTCCAGCAGCAAAAGAACCCAGCTCAAGACTCAAACCCAGTTTATCACTACACTGAGATGCAACAGTCCATTTAATCCACAAGTAGGTCATATCCAGGAGATAATAAGAGGTTAAAAAGTTGAGAACCACGCATTTGCTATTCAAAAGATATGAAAAAGAGACAAACCCAAGCAACAAGCAAGCAGAAAGCCACAGATGCAAGTTGATACAGTTCATTAGTCTGCAAAGAATTCAGTAAATCAGTCATATATAGAAACAGCTGTGACATAAAAGATGTGTTATTCCAACAGATGCAAAGTTACCTGCGAAGATAGGCCTATCATTAGCTTAAGAAACCAAGGTACACATGTGCGGCATAATACTGACAAAATGGCCAAGAAAATGACCAGAACGACAAATCTGTAATCAAAAGGATAGTAGCAGTCAAGGACAAAATTCACATTTAAAATGTTTAATACAGTCAATAGCATAGAAGAACAGAAGGAAAATCAGGAATCGTGCTCTTATTCTTTCTTTCTTTTTTTGGGGGGAAGGGAGATGAGTAGAGGCTAAAGTGAAGTTGGAAATTTTGTTCTACTGCAGTGAAAGTGTGAAACTAATCAACATAAGTGGACTTCAGATTTGTGGAATGGCATAATGGAATTTGCCCAGTAATAAATATGTTGTGTTTAAGAGATATGTCTTAAGTGTTCAGCACAGATCAACGGGATCCAGAATGACTCACCAGCTGATTTTTTACTGGTTTCGCACAAATCTAAGAGGTTCAGTAAGTAGTTGGCCTAAGCTATAATGAGTTTTCACACTTAAGGTGTCAAACTAATACGAAGCACTGCAGTTTCACCTCTCAGCTTTTGAAGTCTTTATAAACATGGTGGGACTTAACTGGTCAATGCCTAAGAAATTGAAACTAATTCAATGATGCTGCAGAAAAGGTTTTTGAAAAGCTTCAGTTAAGGTCTGGAACTCAACCCCAGCTGCAATCTGGTGGTCAATTTGGAAGGAAAGAAATGCAAAAAGTAATAATTTAGAGCAAGAAAAGAATCTATGATTACAATGAAGTATAGATGTATCTCTTTACTTTCTTTTGGTGCAATGTGGCTTTAGTTAATAATGTAGAGGCCATGACTGATTTTTTGAACTTATTATACAACCTGTGATGCAGCTATATTGTAAGGCTATACTTATCAATAAAAGCTATACTTAAGGCTATGATTGATTTTTTGAGCTTATTACACAAGTTGTGATGCAGATATACAGTACATACCTCAGAGCATATACTTGTAGCTGGAAATAAACAAAACTACCTCTTACTGATTAAGAGAAAAAGTGTCAAACAAGGTAATAGTTTAAGATTAATTTGAAAGCTCTTTTGTTTGGCACATCATAATTGCCAGACATCCACCATAGATATCACAATCTCACCTCTAAGAATGACGAAAACAGAACAACATATGCATTATGGAGATGGAAAAGAATTCTTTAATGCATGTAACAACATATTGTTTCACATAAAAAAAATTCTGCATTCCAAATTCAAAATTTATTCAATCGCCACTGCTTACAGTTTTGCCATGGAAACCATTCCTTGAAGAGCACCGGAACTACCACCTAGAATAGGAAGCAGTGCAAATAGCAAACCCACCGTGCAATCCTGAAAATCAGAGACATCTCAAAAGTTCAATCAGGGAAGAACTATTGAGAAAAGGAACAAGAAAATTTTGACGAGAAGGAAATTTTTTGGGTATAACCTAAGTTGCTCGGACTCGGGTGCGGGTATCCGATACGGGGACAGATCCGAGTATCGGACTCGGCAAAATCTAAATTTTAAGATTCGGTGGTGCGGATCCGAATATGGATACGGGTGCGGGGATTCGGCTAATAAAACATAGAGCTATAAAAATATTGTAAATTTTGAGAGATATTCTGTGAAAAACTTACATGAATATTGTAGAATTCAACCTTTCATTCTCCAAGATGGATATTTATTCTTTCATTCTCCTAAATCTGTTTTATTTTTTATTTTGAGAAATCAAAATCTCAATTTTTCTCCCAAATTTGTTGATGGACTCCGGTCAAAGTGTCCGAAGTCAGTTGACCGTATCCGGGACGTATCCCGCTCCCGCTCCCGTCCCCGTCTCGTATCAGGACGGGGACGGCACCAAAATCGAAGAGTCCGCGCAACTTAGGGTATAACACATCCATGTGAAAGACAACAGTGAGCCAATATTTTGTCAAAAACATTGCTATATTCACAAAAAAGAGAAAAGGATAGCTGAGACAGACCTGCAGAATAAGAGTTCCAATGGTGACTTGCCCATAGAGGGTGTTAACACTATTTCTTTCCATCAAAAATTTTAACACCTGTTATTCAGAAAAGATAAAGATCTTCAGTACATTTATAAGAAGCTTTACTAATTAAAGCATAATGTGCCCTTTACAATACTTTCAGTCCATAATATCCAATAAGGGGATTCAACATTCAAAATTCGTTCCCTTCCGCAGTTTTCCCATTTTCCCAATTCAGTTATTAGCCAGTTATGAAGGAAAATGTGTTGTGTTTAGCGGATTCAGAGAGCCAGAAATCCTCAAAATTCCAGTGAGATGGCTTCTCTACATTCGGAAAGGGAATACTGAAACAATTTTGCAGTTACTCTATCGTACTTCTTGGGCTTTTTAATACCTCTAATCACATTTCTTAACAGCAAGTGAAGCACAAAACTGATGCAGGCAGAAACTAAATGCTTGTGCATCATTTATTGTGATGTTAGAAAATTTTCAAATTGGAGTGAATCCCATTGCACATCTTTCTGTAATACACTTTTTTATCAGTACATCTTCCTATAGTACACCACTTTTCAGATTATTCAAAAAATCTTTCCTAAAATGAGGGTGTTACTCCTGTCTTACAGCACTCAACAAGGTCCTAACATTTCGTAAAAGTAAAGATATAGGGTATTGAACCCAAAATACAAAATGATTCATGCATCTATGGCATCAATTTGCCTTCTCCTTTCCTCAATTATACCTTAGGTAAATTTAACTATCAACTGAAATATTTTCCATTTTCCTCTAGGAACGCATAGGGAAACTTAAATGAAAATTGAATAAAAGCCCATGACAAAATACTTGATGGTACAATCAATTAAATTGGAAAGATAAATTCAAAAACGACATCAACTTGCCACTGCTGTCGAAGACATTGATAAGAAGACGCCGACAAAAACACCTTCAGATGCTTCCCCACCGCATAACTGTAAGTATCATTGATTCATGGTTATGAATAAGAAAGACGTTATATATTGCATAACTGGAGCACTGGAGCTTTAAACATAGAGACAACATTTTAAAAATGCAGATTCCAGTTGCTGAACTGCATGTTGAGAAGGTAGCTAAAAAAAAGGTGATAATAGAAATCACATACCGAGGCTGTTATCCCAGACAAACACATGAAGAGAAAAATTTGGAGTAACCCTCCTAGCACAGCAACAGCTCGAACAATGCGAAGCTGCAGTTACAAGTTAAAAATGCACTTCTGCTTTCACTCCACGTGATAAAATACAAAATTGTCTTAATCTAGAAAATCAAATGCAAACCTTCGCGGTGGAGAACTCCAAACCCAATGCAAATAGAAGAAAAATAACACCAAATTGAGCAACTGTTTCCACCTGAATGATGTAGCCACTGGATATTAGGAAACACGAATTTAGAAGACCTAACCTTTTTTTTTCTGATAAGGAAATTAGAAGACCTAATACCAGTTAGACCATTAGAACAACATTAGATGGGGATGGTCCAAAAGACAACATAATTAACATAAAAGTACTATAAGCACAAAAATCATATCAGGAGGCTACGCTGTTTCAATAAAGCAGTTCAGTAAAGAAATTGAATTTCCAGGAAGTGGTAATTGTAAGATGGCTAGAAAGCGGCTCTCCAAAAATATATTTGCACCTCAAAACTCTGAAAAGTATGCAATGACTCATTAGCACTTACAGATCACAAACGAAATTTATAACATTTGCAAGTTCACAAAATTCAGTGAGGCGCTAAAGTGCAAGAATAAAATAGGCCTACTAAGGTCACTGATTCAACAATGGAAGGCAGAGTTCTATTGCTTCTAAGAGACCAAAGTGTAAGACTGGAACCGGAGAGCAATCTGTCAAATTTGGCCAAACACACGAGTGGACTGCAATAGGCCTGAAAGACTGTAAAGTGATCTTTGAGACAAAAGGAGCTAACGATATAAAGAGTTCGTTAGTGGCCACAACTGTATCTCAGGCTTAAGTCTTTTCCAACGCAATGACTTAAGCTGGGTTTTTGGGGGAGACATGAATACAGGAGCAGAAAAGAGTACATCCTTCGTAGGCCTCATCTGGTTCCAGTTAATGGAGGTCTGAATCTGCCTACTAAGTTTGTTTTCTTTTCACAACCATTTATTAGCTCTTAATAGGTCTGAATCATGAAGATCTGGTACAAAGGCTTAAAATCATTCAGAAGCTCATTCCAAAAAAAAAAAAAAAAAAAGGAGACAGTATTAAGCTTCTCTAGTCTCAACTTTCTTATTCCCAATCAGATAAAGTTCTCTTTTCTTATTCTATCGAAAAAGATGACTTTTTACTGCAAACTAATGAGAGAATTTTCAAGTAAAAGGAGCAAGCTAACCATCCTCCATGTGGTGGCAGTTATACTAGGGCGAAGTGAATACTATAAGAACAACATCAAGAAAAGATATTCTTGTTTTCTACTGACTGGGATATATAGTTGAGTACATTTGACATTCTATCCTCCTTAAGACTCCGTCAGATCATTTTCCTTCAATTTGGGACAGTGGGAGCAAAGACAGTCCCACTTTGATATGAGAATAGATCAATGGTTTTGTAGACATGGTCAAGATTTTCTGGAGTCTTATGATGTGACAGGAATTCCAAGTTACATTCTGACAAAAATACTAAAGCTGCTGGAAGTACTTGGAGTGAGACAGCACCACTTTAAGCCATCTAGGAAATAGGAAGTCTGCAATAGTGGAAAGCCTTATGAATCTTGACAAAGCGCTAGATGAAAGTATCTTAATACTTTAACAGAGGAGGAGCAACTGCAACGAAAAAAAAAAGACTACTGAATATTCAGGTTGGAAGAATCTAATGGAGGCAAAATTCAAGATCTCTTTGGCTCAAACTAGGGGATAAAAGCACCAAATTTTCCACAAAATAGCCAATGCCCACAGGAGATACACCATGTTGATAAGCTAAAGATCACTGGGGAGATCTGAGAGGCGCAAGAATCTAACAGAGAAGAGATGTTGAAGTTTTACATGGACTTCCTTCCAAAGTGATGCCATCCCTAGAAATTTTGAAGAAGAAATGAGCTGGGAGTTCAATGAGGTATAAAGCACATAGGCGTGACGGGTTCTCCATGCCCTTCTATTGGAAGTGCTGGGAAGTTATCAAATCCTGACTCATTTATTCCATCAATTTGAAAGCTTAGAAAAAGCTTTGATGCCTCATACAATGTCCTGATCCTCAAGAGAAGGAATAATTAGAGTTTAAGTACTTCAGGCCCATAAGCTAGCTGGGCAGTTTCTACCATAAATTTGCTAAGTTTCTTATTATGGTCATGGACAAGCTGATAACAGACACACAGCTAACAATTACCCAAGGGAGGCAGAATATTAATGCAATACAGATTGCAAATAAGTGCTTACTCAATGTCTATGCAAACTAGACCAAATAAAAGGTATTACACGATAACATAATCTTTGTCAGTTTAATGAATCAGACTGGAAGTCGACATACCTGCGAAAAAAAAACATACCTGCACCATTTCACTGACAAAGTTAAAACCCCCTGGTCCAATTACAGATCCTGCTAGCAAATATCCTGTGAAAACCTGAAAGATATTAACAGGATAGGACTTACTTGTTTCTGAAGTTTAATGCATAAATTAAAATGTGTAAAAGCAGCCAAGATAATATCATCAGCATGAAAAATAAGAGGCTATCCAGTTAGCATAAAAAACATGCAAAGGATTATTTAACACACCGGTTGTCCAGCACAAGCAAAGGCAATGCCACCACAAGTTGCAGAAACAATGACAACAACGAGATCCGATATTAATCTGCCAATTGATTTACAGTATAATCAGATCAGTTAAAAAAATATAGCTCCTCTTAACAGAACAATCTTCCTTTTTCACTTAGTTCAGAATGACCAGGATGTAGGGAAGAATATAGCTAACCTCAAGTCTAGCTGCAGCACTGGAAACTTCGACTTGGGATTAGACATGATAAAGACATTATCCTGATGGGGGAGCAGGAGTGAAGGCACCAGTTAGTAAATCATGTTCAGTAATCAATAATCATCTCTCACTACTACTAGTGCTCCTGTGTGACCTATTAGCAGACCCAATACTTTCTAGATGCACTAGGTACCTTTCGATCTATCAAGGTAGGTGTATCTTCAGCTCCATTGTCATTCTCCAGGTGGAAAACATCATGCAACTGGAACGACCTAATATAAACCATTATTCCAACACCATTCAGTCTTATCACTTCCAATAACATGGAGACTATTGAAAGTAGCATAGCATGTACCAAATACAAGATTAACCTTACTTTTCCTCCTTCGTCTCATTCTTCTTGGGCTTGACCCTAGCAACAGTTTCCAAAACTGCCTGAGAAATGAAGCATTTCAAGAAATATTCAGGTCAAAGTGATAACATCAACATGAAAACACATCTTAAGATTCTTCTCGGACACTTATTATTTAAATGGCAAAGTACATGGTAAGCAAAGAATAAAGCCTTAAGCTAAGGAATAATGTGCCGTTTAAAACAATCTACTAGCACAATAACTCAAATAACATCTAGTTACCGATTTTGAGAATCTTTTCTCACAATAGCAGCCATGTTAATCTGTATCTAGCTCTCAGGAACAAGAACAACCAATAAGATCCAAGATCAAATTCCTTATTTCATAAATTTATACACAACATAATAGCACTTCATTCATTTTACTTCCCAAAGACCCTCAATGTTTTATTAGCAATTCTTGTCAACTGCAGATTTTCATCTTTTCATGTAAACAACCAGTAAATATCACAATATCATTTAGCTAAAAAAAGCATGCTACTTCATTGTAATAAAAAGTGTGTTGTGCCTAACTTGAACTTCAAGCATCACCATTACCATGCACCACATTCCACAACTTGGTTTACTGGAGTATATGGGTTAAGCTTCAGTCTCAATATGGGCAGACCAACCGCTGGACCTCAGATCATAGCACCAACACTTATCACCTTCAACTAAGAGAAGCCCAACCAGTCGGCAATAAATGATTCTTCGGCTGATTAACAGATGCTAATTGACCAAAAGAACAAAACAGAAATTTTAGGAAAAGAACTGCTATGGGAACTAGAATGTACTTTGCCAGAGAAGATGTTCCAAGTGGCAGTCCAAAAAACTCATCCTTGAATAATAGTTCTTTAAATATTTCCCATTTATAGCAAAATAGTAAAACCGCTAAGATTGTAGCAAACAAATACATAATAAACCCCTCAAAAAGCAATTAAAGTTCCAGATCAGCAATCAGACTACAAATATCCTATCCAAAAACTATTTCGAGTAACAGATAACCGGAGTACTATTGCAATAACTTCTCATTCGAAATTTGCAAGTCATACGCGCCTATTTATTTTCATTCAGACAACTCGAAGGAAGTAGGGGCAAACCTCTTGATCTGCCACGCTGTTGTTGAAGCTTCTGGGATCAGTTGCTGAAATGAAAAATAAATAAATAATAGTATGAGAGAACAGAAGAAAGACCAGAACGGGCGCTACCGAATCCTAAATCACAAAATCGTTTACAGAAACTTTATCACCAGCATCAGAGATAGGTTTATCGAGTTTCAAATAACATATCAGAGAATAAACAACCAAATCTAAAAACAGAAGATCTTGCCGCATAAATGTAACGACACGTACAAGTACCAACACTGTCAGTCCAGCTAGTAATTCCACTCAAATTGTTTCGCAAAGAGAACATATTATCCAGATTTAATAGTGTAAATAGTAAAGAGGTAAACTTGAAGACTAGTGGGAAATAGCTACTCAAACATGCAATATTAGCTCCCGCATTGCATGTTTTGTTGGATTCAACAAGTTCCCTCAAGCCGAGGCATAGCATTGGATAAACCCTAAAAAATGAAGAGTGGGAATTGAACTAACCATCGGACTTGTCGTCAGTCTCGTTGAACTCCTTTTCGAGAGCTCGATCGATCATGTTAGCGAAGCTAACTTCCGTAGATCTAGACGAGTTGAATTCAGAAGCATTTACGACGTCGTCTGCATCTTCAAACTTCGGATCAGCATCAGAGAGAACGTATTTGAAGGAGAAGGAGAGAATGAGGAGGACAACGAAGAGCCCTCTCATTTGCAATGGATGTTAGAGAGAGAGAACTCTGATGAGTGAGGGTTTTAGAGAGAGAAGGTGACCTTTTATGTGGAAAAAGTGTGGGGTGAGTGGCAGCCGATTGAAGCTAACTAACCGTCGTCGAGTCGAAGTGTTTTCACGTTCACGTTATCGGCGAGGGAAGTTTTGGGAGAGAGATTGAAGGAGAGAGAAAAAGGAAAGCATCGGGCCCCGGGAGAAGTTGAGTGAAAGTACAAAAAACTCCTCCTTCATATTCGCTTCTTGTGATTCCCGTCAGGTGTTTCCAATGAGGTGCACACGAGGTTTTAGCACGTGCAACAAACGCTCCGGTAACAACCACTTCGATCAACGGCGATACCAGGTGGCGGTCAACCTTAGTCACATGTAGAAACATTTTGACCAATCTTTATCCGAAAGCAAGCGAAATTCGTTATTTTTTGTGAAGAAAATCTTTATCTATTCTACAGTTCAAGGGCAAAATTTTTAAAACCGAAAAAACTACACAATGTTAAACCACAAAAAGGTAAAATATTTCATAACTAATTTTTCAAGGCATTGCCCGGGAGTTCAACTTTATTATATTACCGTTTATCCTAAAAATTGGATAACAATTAAACTTATAATGTGATTTTAAGGATATGTGATATCACCTAATACTAATTGATAAATGTAAAGATTGATGGGAGTTGACAATAAAATAAAGCAAACTGGTGTTACAACGTAATTAAGCTCTCGAGCCTGGATGCCCTCGAACAGGTTAATGCAAGAATAGTAAAAGATATCACAAGCTGATAAACAAGAATAAGCTTGAAAGTGTTGTATTGCTTTGATATGCGTGAATATAAGATGGTTACAAAATTATTAGGGCCCTCCTTATATAGCAGAGGAATCCTAGTTATGGTATAATTTAATTACGGAAGCAAATCCCATGATTAACTAAATAACCACCCTTGATTTGATCTGTTCCGGAATTTCCGGCGTGATCTTCGACCGGTTACGGATATCTCGCTTTTCCGTTATTGCGCTTTGCTCGAAGTCTGTCATATTTGGTCTCGATCGTTGCTGACCCCGATCTCGACAGGCACCTCGATTCCCGAACTCGATAACTTGTTTTCGTGCTCTGGTCCGATCCATTACGAGGCTGACCCTCGATGCCATTCCCTGGCCTCGATCAGATAGTAAAATCTAGGCCCGATTTTAACCGTATACAGATAGTCCCCTCGCTTCTTGGAATGTAATGAGAAGAAACTAATTGAGCCTTCGATTTTGTACCTTGATTTGTCATGACATCATCCTCATGATGTAAGCGACGGAAGTGACCGAAACGTCCCATCAGTACAGTTCCTAAAATCATTAATAAGTGTTAGTTTACCTTCAAATCTTCAAAGCTCTTTACATCTTTTAAGCCTTCCCGTTCTGCACAGTCTTTTAGGCTTCATTAACGACCCTTCCTCAAAACACCAAACCTTTTCCCCTTCTTCTTTCTTTACACAAAAATGGTGAAAACGTCAAAAATTGTTCCTCAAAAGGAGAAAGCCTCTTCATCGCGGCTGGCCGGCGACAAAACACCGGTGGAGCCGCGCCTTGAGGAGTGCGTTCCCGAGGTAGGGTGTGATCTTTCTTCCAACTTCAAAGTCGAGAAAACTTCGTATGTCCCTGGCCGGTGTGAGCCAATGTCTAGGTACATGTGCTCGATAACTGAGAGCGACCTTGAGCGGGTCAAGAAAGACTGCCATTGGGAAAAGAATGGCGGTGATTCTGACTCCCGAGGAAGATATCACTACCCACGTAAAAGGGTTTCTAAGTGTTTACACTTATCCTTTCACGCTGGGCCCTGTCGATCCCGTCATCATCGACTTTTGCCGCCAATACCAAATAACCCTAGGCCAGATTCCCCCTTTCTTTTGGCGGATTATCATTCTGTTCCAATTTTTCGCGAGTAAAAAAAAAAGGGACGCCTTTCACCCTCGACCACCTCATCAGGCTGTATAGGCCCCGTCTTTTTCGAGGTGGGTTGATAAAGCTTTAGCGTCGGGCCACCAAGGTATTTTTCTCGAGCATAGACAAGGACAAGGATTGAGGATGGATGGGTCGGTTCGTTCGAATGAAATTTCCGACCTAATTCCGACCGAGAAGATGCCATTTCCCGAGAAGTGGAATGTGGAGCGTAAGTCCAATCCTTCATTTGGCTTTTATTTACTGTTTTGTTTCCTTTATTTCTCCTCATTGACATCCTTTTCTGTGATGTAGCGGTCGCTTGGATGCTTGGAGCGATTCCGGACCTCGAGAGTTGGGTTCAGACCCTAGCTTCGACCTCCTCGTATGCTGAGCGCTCACGGCGCGATTTAGCAAGGGGCCGATGGGAGGCCAAAAATCACGATAAGCCTTTTCTTGACATATCTGATGGCTTTAAAATATTTCCCCCTTACTTGATTTCCTTTCATACAGGCCTTGGGAAAGATGCCGTCATGAGGCCCTCGTCCGGGGAGGAGGAGGTTCCGCCCCCGGTCCCGAAGCCGTCGAAGCAAAAGAAAAGAAAAAGGGTCTCACCTTCCGATACTCCAAAGCCCAAGAAGAGCAAGGCTCGTAGGTCGAGAAAAGACACTGCCGCCCTGTCTGCTGATGTAGCTCAGCGACTAAGGGAGGAAGAAGAGGAAGATGAAGATGCTGACTTCGAGCTAGTAGCTCGAACGAAGAGGAGCGTCGAGGCCCCGAATGCCGCTGAGCTAGTGATGATCGAAGAGGTTCAGCCTCGGACCGAGGAGATCTCGGAAGATGGACCGAGGAAAGTTCCCGAGTCGTCGGAGGCTGAAGATGTCTCCCGCCGTGATGAGCAATCGGCGGATGTGCTTGAAGGGGCCAGTTCTGAGGCCCTTCAAAACGAAGAGAATGACCCAAGTGACTTGCTTGGGGCAGTATATATTGGAGATTCGCCGCCCCTCCCCACATTTTCCGAGGGGCAAATTCAGGAAGCCCAGGCCATGGAGACCCCCGACGTGGGAATGGCCCACGAAGGGGAGGACCTTTTCCGTGGTTGCTTCACGGGAGTCGATGATGCTACTGACCTGGGAGATGCATCGAGTCTCTTCGATAAGGCTCAACGACTCCTGAGTCGGGTAAGCCTCAGCTCCCTTCGTCAATATTACGCTTGCATTTATTTCTTCTTGCCTGATTTTCTTTCTTTCTTCATAGGCTTTGACACTTCATCGGGAAGCGTTTTCTAAATCTCGGGGCAGAGTTGAGCCGTTGCGAGGCTGATCCTGGAAGGCTCACGGAGGAGAGAAACGCCCTCAAACTTATCAATGGGCAAAAAGAAGAGGAGATCAAGGACCTCCGAGCCGAGTTGGCCACAACCCATAAAGAGCAGACTGACCTGATTGAGCAGGTAATGAAAATATTTTTTAGAAGCTCGATGTATCAATTCGGGAACGATGACTAATACTTTGATCCTGCAGGTTCAGCAGAAGGCCGAGAAGATCGAGCAGCTTTGTGAGAAGGCCAACATGATGAAGCCTGAGACTTTGGGGTGGAAGCAAAACATGGACCGCCTTGCCTCGGAGAAGGATACTGCTCGAGCTCAACTTTCATGCCGAACGCCAACTCCAAAGCATGAAGGAGGAAAGCTTGGCCCGAGCCAAGAAAATTGAGGAGCTCGAGGTTTGGTTGGATGCCGAACTTGCAAAGGTTACATCTGAGGCAAAAAAGGTAAAGGTTGATACGGAGGCGATCGTAGCCGTCACCGAGCTGATGCTGAGGCTGCTCAAGTTCGAGCAAAGGAAGTTATTGATACCGCTCAGACTCGAGCATACCGGGCTGCCGAGCATGCCATGTTCCAGTCTCGAAGGGAGACTCTTGAGGAGATTCGCGCTCGTGGCTTGCACCTTGTTGTCGAGATCGAGAACGCGAAAGAGCTCGAGGCCGAAGACAAAGGGTTTCTCTCTTCCGGTGATGATGATTCCGGGAGCGTGAGTGGATCCGAGAGCGGAGGGGATTCCGATGATGAAGGCATGGCTCCCGAGAGAAATTAGGCACATAGGATTTTTTCCTTTTTCGATTTTTTTGTGTAGGATCCTAACTGATCCATGTAAATATATTCATATATAAAAGATCTCTTTTCTCTTTTTATTTCAGTTTCTGTCTCGTACAAACTTTGTTTTGACCACGTCTTGGAAAATTTACATAAGTTATGAGGCTTGGGCAATTTTATCGAAGTCGGACTAGTGTAGTCTTTATAATCAAGCGAGTACTTGTTCGAACTCGAAATAGGATGACCCTTAGTTTTTAGTTAAGTGAGAGTGAATTCTCGAACTCAAAAAATATAACGGCCCTTAGGCTCTTGAATTGGACCGATATGGCCTCAAAAGAGTGGATTTTTTCCTTTTCGGCTTAAAAAGTTTAATCATATAAAAATTTGTTATGCCTTAGCACGAGATAAATCTGTACCCATTAGGATTTTCCAAGGTTAGTGTTATCGAAACCCTTTACTTTGTTATGCCTCAGCATAAGCTTGTACGAGAGTTCGAACAATTTGGTACCCCTTAAGGTTTTTGAGGGTTGATGTTATCGAAACCCTTTGTAATTTTGCCGAGGGTAGACTTTTTAAACCGGTTTTATGTAAATATTTGAAGGCCCATTTTATTATGGAATTCGGATGTCTCCGAACCATGTTAGTTTGGCCGTAGCCTTTAACTTGAGATTTTCCCTTTGGGCTTGTTTCTCAATTATACTTCGAACTTGTTCGAAGCGTCAGTCCTCGAGTGGGGTGGCCTATCAAAATGAGGGTTGCCTTTTTAAGGTCTTATAATCTTGAAGTTTAATAATCCGATCATGTCGATTTTTGGATGGCAGTCCCCGAGTACGGGGTTGATTATTCGAGCTTTAGTTGTGATTGGCGCTCGAGCCAGTTTCTGCAATAGATCATAGGTATGAAATTGTAAAGTAGAAATTTCACTAAGGCATGGAATATCTGGTAAGGAAAAAATACTTCTTTCAATATATCATTCATATGTACATGTTTTATCATTAGGTCTGGAGTAATCTACATGGACACGGTTCATTTGATCGTTCAACCTTTTCTTTAGATTCTGAATGATGGTCTTGTTTGTCGATTCGGCTTGTCCGTTCCCACTATGATGATATGGAGTTGACAAGATCCTTTTTATCTTGTGATCTTCAAGGAACTTTGTTATTTTGCTGCTGATGAATCGTTTTCCATTATCGCATACGATCTCGGCAGGTATCTCTAATCGGCA